ACCCCATATGGCAGCCATTTCAATTATTTATCAATGTAATCGCTGGAATTATGATAAATCAAATTTAATATTTTAATGGAAGCTGTAATAAAGCAAGACTCTAATTAGCAATCATCCTAGAATGCATAGCTAAACTAGAATAATCAAGGCATTGGAAATGCTGCGATTATTGAAAAACAAGCAGAAGATGATAGATAAAAAGAAGAAGAGAGATCAAATGCAAAAGGAGACTTTGATAAAGAGATGCAGGAGTAAGAAGGTGATTCTGATAAGGAAATGGAAGATGAGGGAGACTCATCGGCTGATGAAGGTAAATTATAATCTTTTAACAAGACATTTCGATAGATGATGCTAAAAGTTAAAATAATGCTGGTCAGCAGAACTAAGCATTCGGAACAACTACTAGAAGTGGTGGAGGAGGTAACAATTAGACAAAGAAAGCCTTGCAAAAAAATAGAAAGAATCAAGGTGGGAACCGCAAGAAGGTGCTTGCCAATGGTAATATCATTCACACTAATTTATATTTAGATGATTATGGAAATGATAACACTAATTAGTAATTGAATATTAATTAACCTCCTTATAGTGGGTCAGATATTATTTATCAGCAAGTCTCAAAGAACTACGGGTTTGTAAAGTAAAGATTCCTATACAAGCCTTATGTACCTCTCCCAGATCTTAAAGATTACATTGGAGAGATCATCGAGTACAGAATTTTCTCCTCTTTTTTGACTAAATTCAACAAAGCCTATATCAATAGACATTTTTATGGAACTGAGATCTATACTTCTGACTCGGATCCAGTTTGCATTCTATAGCATGTGAGCTTTTATAAAGTAACTGAAGATGTACCTCAAGATTTTGAGGCAATATCTGTATATTTCAGAGTGGCTAAAGGTAGAAATAACTACCCCGCTTAATAAAGAAACGGAATTAGAAGTAGAAAGATGGGTTAATTTGATGGCCATAGCATTAAGTTTGAAAGTGCTGAATACCTCCGATAGATTGGAACATATCAAGATCTGAAGCAGATGACCTAAGTGATGCCGACTCATTTAGAACCTATAGTCTTGCATAATTAAAGAAAAATTCAAGCTAAAAACAGAATCATTTGCTCAAGAATACCAGACTCTGCTTATAAAGCCATTACTCCAGCTATCATTTTTAATCTAAGTCTTGAACCTGCTTATGAGTTCATGCTTTCGACATTCGCTGATAAAGGAGATGATATTTCAGGAAGAACTTGCTAGAAACTCCAAGATAATGTACTTTATATTGAGACTGAATCCATGAGATTTGAGATATCGAAAAACCAATAGAATGGTTAGGATGGTAATTTGAAATACAGATTTGCTTAAGTTAACAATCCCTTTATGAAGGGGGACAAATTCTTGCTTAATGAAAGGAGACCCCTGGATCCTTAATATCTGAATATCATTGCCAAGGAATTAGATTGGTTTGACTTCATTTGGGGAGAGAAATCCCTCATTGTCAATAGTAAAAAGTATGAGCAACTTAAGAATTACAAGTACTATCCAGTTAATGATAAAAAAAATTGATTCATTTAGTATAGATTTAAATAAATAAGTTTAAAATTTAAATTTTTAGTTATCAAAAAAAACGATATAAAATTCTATGATGTGGATGATTGAAAATTAATCAGATTCACCCAAACATAGAAAAGTGGCTAATAAGTTTGCCATCAACTTATTTATTTAGTAGTGTTTGTTGAAAAACTACCTTATTTGACGCTTCATTCATAATCTTGAAGTAAAGTGTCAATCGATTCATTTTGGATTATATCTACTTTCCAATATAAATGTGCCTAGAAGTTTTCATCTAATGGTTCCCTCTCTTATTCAGGCAATTCCACCTCAATTATTTTGAGTGGTGCTTCCATCTGTTTAGGCTCCTAATCTTCATTAGATTCTTTTAATTCTTCTGAAGCTTAAGAGTGTTCAAACTTTGGAGAGCTTTATTATATCAGATCGTTCATCGAAAGAGGGTTTTCTTCTTCAGATCTATCCTCATCTTCTTCAAATCTTGCCTCATCCTCCTCTTGTTCATGCTCCCATGGTTTTTGTGTTTGATCATCTCCATTGCTGAAGTATTGTGCAAGATCTCCGTTGTCTTGCTTGTTATCTCCATTTTGATCATCATCATCATCGTCCTTGTATATTAATCTTTGGAAATCGTCATCATCGTCATCATCTTCTTCCTTTTAGAACTGTTAGTAATCTTGGTTTTTGATTCTGTTATTTCTTCCATATCTGCCGATATTCTTAGCCAGATCACTATTGAAGTATAAGTCTTTATTCTGATCAAAAGCATTATTATCACTGTTGCTATTGGTCTTGCCTTCATTTTCATTTTCATTCTCACTTTTCTTTTTATTTTCATTATCATCATCCTTATCATCAATCATATCTGGCTCTTCTTCATCTTCCTCCTCTGGCTTCTCATTTTACTCTTGCTACTTCTTACTCTTGTTTTAGAATCCAGATCTAGCATCTTTTATTTTGTAAAGAATATCAAAATAGTCATCACTAGAAGAAGTTTACTTTTTCCTTGGATCTGAAGCTAGAGGCTTTGATTCTATTAGGTTTATTACAGTAAGGATATTTTAATGGAATTCAGTCCATTCTGGGATTGATTCAAGGAAATTCTAGACTTCCTCATTTTTCTTCGAAAGCTCATCAATTTTGTTGGCTAACTTTCTCATAAATGCCATATATCCACGATTAACTCTTTACCCAGTACCCATGAAAACATGGATACCTCCTTCCCTTGAAGTATCAAGAATTTTCTTTACTAGACTAGTTTGGTACAATAAGTGATTAATTACGCTTTCATTGTTTTTCTCAAGAGCAAGGGAGAAAATCTCTGTTACCTTTTAATGCAAGACATTGTGGAAAGGATAATGGTCAAAGAAGAATAACAATGAGTTATATAAATCAGCATCTGCGAATGAAGCATGAATATCCTTGAAGAAAATTTGATAGATTTGATTTAAAAATTCTACAGCTCTTATTCTTACAATTCCAAATGGCTCTTTACAGATACCATAACTTCTTGTATATAAGTCCTCCTAATCTGCTTCACTAGGGATTGACAGCTCTTTTGAAATGTTTTCTTTGATAATTTTCTTAATGAAAGCAAAAAAGACACTCTCCTTATCATCATTAAAGACCAAGACATCCTCATCATCCTCAAGGACCATATCATCTCCGCAATCTTAGAAATTGGAGAAGTTAATTCTCTTTGAAAAATTTTCGTTGCTTTTATATTTTTAGGAAATACCTTAGAGTACAAGATAAGTGTTTGCTTTTGAAGAAGAACTCTCACTTGATAAGCACTCACTGAATACTTCAAGGGATCTTTAAGAGGTCAACTCTTAGTAGATAGCTTTATATTCAACAAGTTCAGTCAAAAGAGACTAAGCATTTAAGTGATCTTCATAGCCGTATTGAGGGTGAAGTTTCTCAACGACCTTAAAGATAAAGCTTTATCTAATATTATCGAATTACCCAGAGTAAGCATCATCGAGAACATTCTCAGTGACATTCAATAGTCTTATTAAGACCTCACTGATTGATTTTGAATTGATATGTTTAACCATATTGTAAAGCACCTCAGGGTGAGTGTAGACGTAGTTAAAAACGTCTTTTGGCTTGTTTCCTACAAGTACTTGGAAAAGCTTGCAGAAATATCCAGCCAAAACAGGGTTAAGTTGTTCATCAGTATCTAGAAAACTCAATAATTTCTCAAATAATTCAAACTCATTTGGTGGAGCCTATTAAATGTCTTATTTAGTGGGAGCAGTAGAAAGTGAAGTTTCCTCATCCTCTGAGACCACTTCTTCACTTTGAATGTGGTTCTCAACAATATCTATAGTATGTTGAAGTTCTTAATGAGAATTTTCTTCTACATTTTCCTCGGTTTTAGCCTCAATATAGTTCTCTTGGATTTGGTCAGTTATAGAAGCCCCAAGATTTTCTTCTCCGCCTTCTTCTTACTAAACCTCATCATCTTGTTGAACTTAAACTATTTCAGTCTGTTGTTCTTCTTGCTTTAACTCCTCTTAATTTTCAATTTTGTCAATTTATTGATTTAATTACTCGATCTTATCTGGGATCTGTTCATTTGTTTGATATTGGATATCATCTACCTTAACTTCAACTAACTATTCCTCATTTTATTGATTTTATTCTTCTTAGATTACTTCAACTTTGTTTTCCTCAGGCTGGGATTCATTTTAATTTTCAAATGTATCTTGTGTTTATTAATATGGGTCTGTATCATATGTCTGAGGGAATTAAGTCTGTTATTCCTCAAGAACTTCATCAGATCTGAGTTCAATCTCATCCTAATCAACTTCATCATCTTCTTGGACTTGATATCTATTAGATCTTGCTTTATCTGATTTTTGCACCCCAAATCCGGAAGAACCTCTGGTCTCTCCGAAACTCTTTCTCAATACATTCTAGCTTTCCTCGCCTTTATTATCTTCGTCCTTTGATATTAAGGAATCAAATTCATTATCCTCATCTTGGTTAGGAGCATTATCTTCGTCATTATCATCCTATTGATTATTTTAGTTGTAATTTTCTGACTCGTTCTCTTCATTCTCTTCATCTCTATCGTATATATTGCCCTTATCAGTCTATTTCTTTGATTAACTAACTGTCTCGACTGGTCTTGCAGTAAAGAAAATGTCGTTTAACTTGCTTAGTTCGCAATTGAATATTTCACTTGCAATAAATGGCAGTCTATAGATAATGTCAGGATTGGATGTTGCAGAATTATTTAAATTTATAGAAATATTAGGAAGAATTATTACAAACTTCTCCCTATTTTATGATTCGAATAACTTACTTGTGACCTCTGTCATGAGTGCAGCCCTCAGGCGGCATTTTTATTATGAAATCTATCATTTCTGCTACCTTATCATGATCAAAGCTGAACAATAAGGTTAATTAAACTAGAAATTTACTAGGAAACAAGTCGTTAATTGCCCCATTTGCATTGTGTAAGGACTTCGCTATCTAAAAGTAAAGTCTCTAGTGTGGTATCCTCCTTATCAAGGAGTGACTCAATATTTGATCTGTGCGATGACATCATATTATCTAGGAATGATCCTAAAAATCTATAGCAAATTATAAGAATATGTTAGCAAGATTTTGGATATAAATTGAAGTTAGTTCTCAATTGTGACTTACCCTCTAAACATTTTGAAATTTCTTAATTATATAACAAACTCTTTTATACTATATATTCATTCAAATTTTTTGTAGCTTTATAGAATTCATCGTAATCTAGGGGTTTTGGGGTTTTGGGGAGATCGGAAGAGCGTCGTGTAG